TAACGATACGTTTTGGTCCAAATACTTGCTCTATGTATGGCTGACTTTGGGATCAATTAATGTTTTAATAATTTTTATGGTTGTCTTTATACCAATGAATATAACGTATAAATTAATATGGATTTATGTTTTGGCAATACTTTTGACAATTTTTTTGTTTATAATATTCACGGCTTCGGCACTCAATTCCCAGACAAACAATTCATATAATATTCTCTACTCTTTAATCGCTTCTTATTATTGTCTCAAATTTAGAAAACACAGAATATCTTTGAATACAAAATTAAAAGTTTGTTTTATTTTTATATATAAATTATATATTTTTATAAATGTTTTATTTATTTTACTTTTTCGTTTGAATAGTTGTTAATATTAATTAAAATCGTTGGACAAAAATCAACAGGGTTTTCGTGTTGGAAGCTATTTACTATTAATTTTTTTAAATGCTATGAAGTGAGTAATTAATTTTATTTTTATAAACTATTCAATATTTTATTTATTTTTATAAGGTTTTGGGTTTACTTTCACTTCTATTCTTAAAAATTATTGAAATGTATAGAAAATAATAATGTGTTTATTGTGTTAACATTTATTTATAAAATTAATATCTAAATTCAAACATATTATTAAACCAAATATTCAAATAATGTGATAATTATTTTGTAATGAATTCAATTCAACCCTATGTTCAATACCATTGACAGTAAAAATCAGATGTTTGTCCACACTTTCTGTCGCCACAAAATTATTCATAGCAGCGATTGATTTGATTTCAACACCATTTATATGCGTTATTATATTATATTTATAAATATCTGTCCTGTAATTAGAAATTCAATTATTCAATAATATATTCAAACAGTAGAAACACAAACCGATGGGCTTTTGAGTCGGCTGTTATTTCCCAAACCATGAGTCCCGAAGTGTCCTTCAGGTGTTCTTCATCCACACCATTGGCTATAAACCAGTCTTTATTATTGGGATCGTAAGGATAGACAACGAGTCCAACGGATAGTTGTGTGCCCTCTATATCCTTCAACACAGTCTCCACTTTATCTATAAAAAAAATTATATTTAAATTATAAATCGCTTAAAAAAAGACTATAAAAACAAATACTTTTGAGGAATTTATAAGGAATGCATATATTTATGTATATATCGTGTTGAATGAAATTCATGCCCAAAACCTTTCCTTCACTATCAAGAAGTGCTGATCCGTTGGGTTTATTGATAGCCGTGTGAACGATATAGTGGTGGACAGAGGGGTCGGCTATGCGTTGAATCTTAGCCAAGAGTGTTGAGCTAAGTCGTGGTTCAGTGACCCGACCCTCACAGATGTGATTATAAATGCCAAACCGAGGGTTCATTAGTGCCATCACTTCGTCGCCGATTTCCAGATGGTCTGAATCGGCGAACTCTACCGTTGGATAACCCGTTGTCCTCTTTTGCAACTCTATAATCGCTATTATATTGTCTTTCATAATAACTCTTCCCTTCACTTCTTGTCCGTCACCCAAACGGACCAATACTTGTGCGTAAAAACCAATGGTTTCCTTAGAAGTCAACACAACACCCCTTTCGTCGACTATAAACCCGGAGCCCATGACAGACGGCGGACCCTCGGGGTAACACTTGGGGTCTGACTTCTGGTACAGTTGTCTTAATGACACAAATGGTGTACTCCATGTCTCTGTACTAAACCTTTTTGGTGACAGTAATTCAACTCTTCTTAAATAAAACAAACTCTTCTTCAACTGATTGTCTGTCCGCAAGTGTTGTTTTGTTTGTCGACTTGTATTGTATTGAAAACAAATGTTTGACGCTATCATTGAAGTCGTTATAATTATTACTCGAGTCCTGTATTTAATTAAGTAATTTAAGTTTACATTCAATATTTGGGTTATTTTTGTGCACAGAATAAATACTTTCCATACTTTTGATTGCATTTTGTTAGAAAGGGTTTTAATGAATACATATTAATAGTTCTGTTATTGTTTTAAATATTATAAATTTAAGTTTATTAGTGAAAAATTAATTAAAATTTAATCCATTTTGAATTATATCACGATATTTTAATAATTAATTGCAAATAATGTATTTGTATTGCATTCACTGCATATTCACTTAAATATATTTCTAATTGTTTTCAATGTTTATTGTATAGAACTATGAATGAGTCAATTATAGATTAGACTTCATATAAACGGACTGTCAATAGATTTAAATTCAATTTTGAGGGTCTCATCACCCGATTTGATCCGTCGGACAGTTATCTCCAAATTGTTTTCTTTGCACTCTTTTATGCATTGTTTCAATTCATTCACTGAATTAATGGGTCTGTTATTCACTCGCGTTATTATATCATATGCCATAAAACCAGACCTAAATATAGTGAAAAATAATACATTTTTAAGATTTAAAAATTAATAAAATTATTATTATTATTAATACATACTCTGAGAAAAGTTTGGGTTTCTTTGCCATCGCGGAAGAAATATGTTCCCTGTGTATCAATATTTAAATTTTTAATTAAATGTCACATAATTGTTAATATTATTCAATACTCACTCATTAGGACTAAACACAACACTAATTACAACCACTCCTTCGGTAACATTGAGTCCAAATTCAGACATTTGTGGCATTTTTCGCAAAAAATATTTGACTCTCACAGTAACTATCGGAGAAAGCGTTTGGACTGTTATTCCCAAACAATTATTTCTATTCAACGAATATTTCATTTGTTGTGATTCTCTCTCAAACTTTAGTCCTCTGGCAATAAATCCTTTCAAAAGAAACAACCATTAAATTGATGTAAAAATTATAACTACAGTCAAACCCCTGGCATTTGTTGAAGAGGTGGCAAAATTTTCTTGAAAATGTTTAATTCCGCCCCAATTGATGCCAACAACGCGTCCGGAGCTGTCGAGTAATGGGCCGCCAGAGAAGCCCGGATATGATGAGCACGTATGGGATATGTTCACAACGTTTGGATCCAATAAATTACACCCCATTTCCCAATTGCCAAGGGATATGGTTTGATGTTTGCGCCCAACACTACCGACCAGACCATCAAATATTGTATTTTGCAGATCCGGGTTACCGAATGACACCAACCGTTGACCCATATCTACCGATTCGTTCAAATCTAAGGCACTGACGTCCAAATGGCCGCTAATACGGATGAGTGCTAAGTCAATCTGTGGCTCTATGTAGACCACATGACCACGTGGTAAATTTAGCGATAATTTCGCATGACGTATATCTCCCGCGTTGTCCCGACTGTACGACTGAATATATATTCTGTCCGCCTCTTCGGTGACGTGACTATTGGTTAGTATATAACCCGTCGCTTCTTTGAGGGCAACCCCAGAGCCAAGTGAAGGCATGGATCCGCCTTTTGGGGAATAGGTATAGATAGATATCAATTGCACAATACCTTTCATAACATTGTCATTGATTTGATCCAATGTTAGATTTTTGTGTCCATTCATTAGTGCATTTCTTATGATATATTTGTGTCTCATTTTCACAATCGGTTTGTTCTGTCTTTTGAAATACATTTCACGCAAATAATTGCCACTAATTATCGAAACACTTGTAATGAATGTCTTTTTAGCAGAGCATTGATTGAATCTATACATGATTTTTCAAAAATTAAGGTTTAATTTTGTTTTAATGATGTATTTAACGTATTTTTTAAAAATTATGTGAAATTTAAATATTTAACAATCAATGATACTCTCATTCATTCAATCAAATAATAACTTTTATTACTAATACTTTATATAAGAGAACTGTCGACTGCTTTGAAGTCAATTTTTAAAGCCTTATATGATATGTTCCGTCGGAGGGTTACATCCAATTCGTCTTCTTTGCACTCATTAATGCATTCTTTCAAATCATTTACTGATTTAATGGGTTTGTTATTCACTCGTATTATTATGTCATTTGTCATGAATTCAGCGCTAAATATAGTGAATTAAAAGTAAACACATTTTAAAATCTAGAAATTAATAAAATTATTACTATAATCAATACATACTCTGCTGAGAGTTTGGGCTTTTTTGCCATCGGAGGAGAACTGTGTTCGCTGTGTATTAATGTATGAATTTTAAATAAATTTCAAGTAATTGTTAATATTATTCAATACTCACTCATTGGGAGTAAACACAACACTCATCACAACTACTCCTTCAGTAACATTGAGCGCAAAATCAGACATTTTTGGCATTTTCTGCAACAAATTCCTGATTCTTGGGCTCAGGGTTTGGACTGTTATTCCCAAACATTTGTTTCTATTCATTGAATATTTTATTTGTTGTGATTCTCTCTTAAACTTCAATCCTCTGGCAATAAATCCTATCAAAGGAAACAACTATTAAATTGAATGCGAAAATTATAATTAAAGTCAAACCCTTGACATCTGTTGAAGTGACGGCAAAAGTTTCGTGATAATCTATAATTCCGCCCCAATTGATGCCAACAACCCTTCCGGACATGTCGAGCACCGGTCCACCAGAAAATCCATGATATATGGCACAGGTGTGGGTGATATTAGTAGTGTTTGGATTCATAAAATGAGTAAAAGACTCCCAATTACCACGAGAGATGGTTTCGTGTTTGCGATCGACACTAAAGACCACGCCATCAAATATAGTGTTATGCAGATAATCAGGACTACCAAAAGCCACCACACGTTGACCCATATCTGCCGATGCGCTCAATTCCAAGCCATTGGTGTCCAACTGTCCGCTAACGGCTACGAGTGCTAAATCAAGTTCTGGCTCCACATAAACCACGTCTCCCTTTGGTGTTTGTGAGAACGGCTTCTCACGTATATCTCCCGCGTTGTCCCGACTGTACGGATGAATATATATTGTGGTCTTCTCTTCGGTGACGTGACAATTGGTCACTACATAACCCGTCGCCATTCGTCACAATTAATACATAATATTGACATTAATTTAGTGATAGTTAGGTTTGAAGTGATAAACATTATGAATAATTATAACTGGAATATAAAGCAATATTTGTCTGAATTTTGTCATTTCGTTGGTAAAAATCCCGGGGCCGACGCCGACGTCAATATATTGTTTACGGGGTAAGCGTTTATTCAATTAATTTTGTAATTAAAATTAGTTTTTAACAGCAATTTGAATGCCTATTACAGGCAGACTCTCTGGTGGATAAAAGATGGTCACTATAACACCAAAGTGAAGGGTTTGTCATATGTGGGACAGACCTGTAATCCTGACTATTCGTGTATAATAGTTGGCGCTCGCGATGGCTTCAAATCGCTTGAGATATTAGTCCACGAATTTGGACACAAGTAATGCAAACGATTTCATTTTTGTTGACATTTAATAAATTATAATTATATATTTATATTTTTAATTAAATATTTTAAAAATAATAGTATAATTTAAATTGCATTCATTGAAAACTGATAGTATGGGCGCTCAACACGACGGTGAAGAAGATTATGGCACTGAGAGCTGTGATGGAGATCATTATATAATGTCTCCCACTGTTAGTATCGGTAAGAATCTGTGGTCCGACTGTAGTCTCAAGAGTTTTCGCAAATATCTAATGTCTTTGGAGAAGAAGTATGTTTTCAATCTAATCATTGGTTTTATGTAATGTTAAAAATTATTTAATTTTAATTTGAATAGTGAGGAGAGTTTCAAAATAAAATGTATGTCTAAAGTGACGGCTGCTGTCAGTAATGACCTGTCGATTGTGAACAACAAAATGAGTTCAGCATATTCTGTGAGTCTGGATAGACAATGTCAATTGGCTTTAGGACCCAAATATGTTTACCACGATGATGGAAGTGTTGGTTATATTTGTATATTTGGTGTCAATTTGTTTATGATTTTTACAATGTTATGATTGAATCAATTGTTTGACAGAATGTGTGCGAAAAGATCACCTGTAAGGACGACTTCTTTGCTATCAAAACATGGGGTGCTTTGGATGGCACCAAATGTGGCCCAAATAGCGAGTGCCTAAACGGTCGGTGTCGGAGGGGTTCACAACTAGTGAATAATTTTGTGAATAGCAGTCAAGTTATTGCCAGAAGTGTACACATAATTGGATAACATATTTGCAACAAATGATAAAATTATTGATTTTATTTTAAATTTAATTTATATAATTTTTTATATGCAAAATACTTATTGAATAATTGCTGCTAACAAGTAAGATTATCTTATCAATTGAAAATTGTAGTTAAAAGTTACAAAAAAAGTTTCAAATAAAAGTTTAGTTTATTTCCAAAATAATTAAAATAAAGAGAAGTTGTAATTAATTTGACTAAAATTTATGGAGACATCACTTTCAACGCCATTCCTATTGACAGTTAGAGTCAATACTTGTTTCTCAATGGCTTTAATCAATTGGGAAATATTTGTGAAATCCTTGCCATTTATTTTAGTGATCGTATCATTCATTTGTAAACCATTTCTTTGGTATTAAAACATAAAATAATTACAAATCATATAAAACACCAAATTATTAATACAAACTCTGTCTTTGTTTTCAACTGATTATCAGCAGTAAAACCAATTACTTTAAGACTATTATCACTTTGTTTTTCTAACATCACTCCCAATGACTTGCCTTCTGATGAATATTTCGTTTTTCTCGCATTTTTCTCAAATTCAAGTCCTCTTTCAAGAAATTCTGAAACAGATTTTTTAGTCAATAAAACACTGAATATAATTAACAATTTGATAAAAATGCAAACAAACATACGGTTCACATCCGTGGCGTTAACCGCGATACTAGTGTTTAAGATGACAGCCATCGATACGCCAATCACTTCGCCGTTCAAATCAAGTATAGGTCCGCCGGAAAAGCCGGAAACAGTTGGCGCCGAGTGTATGAGGTATTGGTGTTGAGTACGCGATAAACCCGTGTAATACTTATCAAAACCGACACTTTGAATGTCCGGCCGATTTAGACCAGTAATCACTCCGTGAGCTGCGCTCCAAGTGAGCAAAGGGTTGCCGATAGCCATCACCGGTTCGCCAACCGTCAGATCCGTCCTTTTGGACACTTTTATTGGCGTCAAAACACCGGGCATTACGTGAAGCCGTATGAGTGCCAAGTCGTTGAGCGGCTGAACGCACACCACTTGTCCCATGAGTTGGTGGACAGCGTCCGTGCCTTCGGTGCCCACCAATAGATCTTCCGTTTGATATCCGCCGTAAAACTCAACACTAATGTAAGCAAAATCTCCGGTCACGTGAGCGTTGGTCACAATCAACCCCTTGTCGTCCACTATAAATCCGGTCGCCGTTCCCAATATGGACCTGATTTTGACCACTGATGGCATTGAGTTGTAATAAATTGGTTTCATTTGCTTTTCGTATTCATCCAAATAAGCGCTTCTTAGAGCTAATTGTGGTATATAAATCCGGTCGCCGTTCCCAATATGGACCTGATTTTGACCACTGATGGCATTGAGTTGTAATAAATTGGTTTCATTTGCTTTTCGTATTCATCCAAATAAGCGCTTCTTAGAGCTAATTGTGGTTTGAATTGAATGAATGGCCAAATGTTTGTCTCAGTTTTGATGTTTCGTTGAAACCAATAATTGCTTACAATTATAGGAATCGTTAAAATACATGAATTCCTATTTAATGAATATATTAATTAAAATAATTTTTTATGTCACTATTTGTATAGTATTTAAGACAACCTTTTGTGGTATTGTGTAAACAAAGCCCTCAACAGATGCATAATTCAATCAGATATTTACAGATTTGGTTTATCTAAATGTTTGACAGAATATTAAAAATTTAAATTTTCAATAATCCATACAATAATCTCCCGCTTTATAATAAATTTAGTAATTATGTTTAGCTTTGAATGTAATAACGAAAAACATTTATAAATATTTTAATAGCTTAGAAATGAACATATTTTACATTGAATTAAAAATCATTTAAAATAAAGTGTAGTTTTGTTGATCAATGGTCAGGGGTTTAATGAATACATCCATATTTTCGCCCTCTCTTATGATAGAAATGGTTATGTTTTCATTGGTATCACTTTCCAGAGCTCGGGTCAGTTGGGCTATAGATCTACACATTTCGCCATTAATTTGAATAATAGTATCGTTTATTTGTAGACCATTTCTAATAAAAATAAATAGAAATCAGCATATTTATATTGTTCATTAAATTTCAAATTTTATAACAAACTCTGTGTTATTATTCAACGGATTATTAGCCGTAAAGCCAATCACTTTTAGTTTTTTATTAAACATTTTTTTAACCATAACTCCCAATGATTTCTTGTTATCAAATGAATAGTTTATTTGTCGACTATTTTTCTCAAATTGAAGCCCTCTTTCAATAAATTCTGTATACAATTCAATAGCAATTCAAAAACATTATTTTTAAACTCAAAATACGGTATTAATGATAGCATACCTCTGATATCGTCAGCGGAAATACAGGCATTGACAGCAAACAAGTGGGCCATCACTACACCCACGACCTCACCGTTGGAGTCGACTACAGGACCGCCAGAAAAGCCAGAAGTGGTGGGCGCCGAGTGTATCACATACTTGTGCTCAATACGTGAAAACGGCAAAAAATAAGTATCGACGCCAACACTGACGGCACTATCGGCCGATCGACTCAAACAAGTGATCACTCCGTGAGTTGGGCTGAAATTCAGAGTCGGATTCCCGATCGCCATCACAGACTCGCCAACCGTTAGATGAGTTCTTTGCGAGAGAGACAATGCCGTCAATACTCCGCGCCTGACGTACAGACGGATCAAAGCCAAGTCGTTGTGCGGCTGGACGTACACCACCTGTCCCTGCATTTGATTGTCGCGATCCTCATTGGGATCATCACTACTACTGTATAATAAACTGTTCATTGAGTACAACTGCGAGAATATTATGGTAACAAATGTCTGATCTTTAACCACATGAGCGTTGGTTACGATAAGTCCATTGGAATCCACTATAAATCCGGTTCCGGTCCCTCTTTGGGCGTTGATTTTGACGACCGATGGCAACGATTTGTCATATATTTCTTTCATCGGATGAATGCTTTTAACCAAATGAGCGCTTCTTAGAGACAAATGCCGTTTGGATTGCATTAATGACACAATCTTTGCGTGATTTCTATTGCGATGAAACCAATTGGTTGTCATAAACACAGTAATTGTTGCCAAACATGAGATCCTATTTTAAAATATTTACTTTAATTTTTATTCAATTTATGGAAATAAATGTTATTTTGAAACCTTATGTAATTTGCGGATGAATTTGTCAAACAAAACATTTTTATAAATTTTTTTAACCAGTTGTAAAACACAAGTAATATTATAAATACGTTGAAATTATATAAAGTTAAATCCAATTGTTAATAATGACGTGTTTTAATAATAGATTCAGTTATAATCAAATCTCATTCAATTGATAGCAATCAACTAATTTAAATATCCATTAAATTGTAAACATTTAAAATCATGCATAAAATTAAGCAATTAATGAATCAATGTTTAACTAAAATAACATTCATTACAAGTGTTTCGATAATTAGTAGCAATTATTTGCGTAAAATGTATTTTAAAAGACAGAACAAACCGATTGTCACAACTATTCAACTCAAAAATGTCATAAGAAATGCACAAATGAATGGACGCAAAGATCTAACATTAGATCAAATCAATGACAATGTTGTGAAAAATATGAAACGATTGATAGTATTCACCACTTTGTCCACAAATCGCAACTTTCTGCCAACATTTGGCGCCGGGATTGCCCTCAAAGAGGCGACGGGTTATATACTTACCAATTGTCACGTCTCCGAAACGTCGCCCAAAATATGGTTTCAGTCATACATTCGGGACAACGCGGGAGATATACGTGTTGTAGACGTATCACCGCGTTTACCACGTGGTCATGTAGTTTATGTGGAGCCACAGTTGGATTTAGCTCTCGTAGCCGTTAGCGGACAGTTGGACACCAATGGCTTAGAATTGAGCGCATCGGCAGATATGGGTCAACAGGTGGTGACTTTTGGTAGTCCCGGTTGTCTGCATAACTGCATATTTGATGGCGTGGTCTGTAGTGTTGATCGCAAACACGGAACCATATCTCGTGGTAATTGGGAGTTTTGGATGAATTCATTGGACCCGAACTCTACGAATATAACGCATAGCTCTACTATATATCCCGGTTTCTCTGGCGGACCCGTTCTCGATATGTCCGGAAGGGTTGTTGGCATCAATTGGGGCGGAATTATTGATTTTCACGAAACATTTGCCACCACTTCAACAGATGTCAAGGGTTTGACTTTAATTACAATTTTTGCATTCAATTTAATGGTTGTTTTTTTTGATAGGATTTATTACAAGAGGACTGAAGTTTGAGAGAGAATCACAAGAAATGAAATATTTAATGACTGGAAATAAATGTTTGGGAATAACAGTTCAAACGCTGAGCGCAAGAATCAAGAATGTGTTGCAAAAAATGCCACAAATGTCTGAATTTGGGCTCAATCTTACCGAAGGAGTAGTTGTGATGAGTGTTGTGTTTAGTCCTAATGAGTGAGTAGTGAATAATATTAACAATTACTTGAAATTAATTAAAAATTCAAACATCAATTCACAGCAAACACAGTTCTTCCGCGATGGCAAAGAAACCTAAACTTTTACCAAAGTATGTATTGATAACTACTGTGTAATATTTTTATTATTTTTTAGATCTTAAAAATGTATTATTTTAAAATATATTTAGGTCTGGTTTTATGGCATATGATATAATAACGCGGGTAAATAACAAACCAATTAAATCAGTGAATGAATTGAAACAATGCATTAAAGAGTGCAAAGAAAGTGATTTGAATATAACTGTCCGACGGATCAAATCGGGTGATAAGACCCTTAATATTGGATTTAAAGCTATCAACAATCCTCTTATATAAAGTATTAGTAATAAAAAATTATAATAAAATTGACTCATTAAGCGTTTTATTGATTATTAAATATTCAAAAATCATTTAATTTCTAAAAATACGTTGAATAAATCATTTAATTAAAACCAAATTAAATCTCAATCTTTCAAAATCATGCATAGATTCAATCAATTAATAAATCGATGTTCGGCTAAAAAAGCGTTCATTCCAAGCGTTTCTATAATTAGTAGCAATTATTTGCGTAAAACGTATTTCAAAAGACAGAACAAACCGATTGTCACAACTAATGAACTCAAATATATTATAAGAAATGCACAAATGAATGGACGCAAAGATCTAGCATTGGATCAATTGAATGACAATGTTATGCAAAGTTTTGTACGCGTAGTAGTCGTCCACAACCTCACCGTTTCCACAACCGGAAGAAGTCTGACTTCAATTGGCTCCGGGATTGCCCTCAAAGAGGCGACGGGTTATGTAGTGACCAATTGTCACGTCACCGAAGAGAAGACCACAATATATATTCATCCGTACAGTCGGGACAACGCGGGAGAT